AAAACTGTTCAAGAGTAATGGGCAGTTTATTTTGTAGTAGTTCTCATCAGACTGGCTGGTGAGAGAGAACTTTACTATAAACTAAATACAGGGCTTGAACTTGACAGAGACATTGAAATGCAATAGCGTTGATGCCAAAAAACCTTGCTTTGGTGCTCATTAAAAATACACATAATAATAATAACAATTTTGATTTTCCTTGGATTGTACAATTATTGTAATTTTTAAAGAAAGCATCTGTGTGGATTCAATGCATAGCTGAAAGGTAATCAAATATTATAAGGATCAGACAAGGCTACATGAGTGGAATGTTTAGATGACACGATAATATTTCACTGGCTTTATGATTGACCATATGTAACTACTGGAATGGACTTGACAGACAAGAATTGCAATCAACTTACCCCCAATGGTTGTCTGGGTAATCTATTATGAAATACTTGGGTATGTAATATTAGCAGGAGAGAATTGCAAATCATTAAACTAAGTGACAATACATACTGACTTTGGGAATTGTGATTTAATTTGGTACACCTTAACCCACGCCTTGAAATCTTCCATGGATATTACTGGTATATTGTATACAATGGTTTGAGCAGATCATGCGTTAAGATTGAGTACACATAGATGGTTTAATGTTCTCCTATTTACAAATTAAACTGGCTGGAGTTGAAAGTTTACATCAGATCTGGGTTTCAAAATATTTAAATAAAGTACTGTTGATAAACTTTATTACCACCATGCCACAATGTTGTTGAATATTTGTTTTGTGTACTATTCTCAAATTTCAATTTTCAACTAAATATGAGAAAAATAAAACATTGGTCACATGTTTTGATTAAAATGTTGTAAATTATAGTTATCGTTTTTGTGTAAAGTGGGCGTATTAAAGTGTTTACAAGGCGTTTTTAGTCTAAAGCAGCGTTCTCATCTTATTATTATGCGTAACTTTTACTCATTATTCTGTTTACCATCAACGATTCGCAATTCCAAATTTTAGTGCATTGTGGGACAGTTTTGACCGGATCCAACCTTGATGGAAGATAACTTCGCGAATCAGAAAACATGCCCACTAGTACAACCTGAACTAACTATCCCACAATGCACTAAAACATTGAATTGCGATATGGTCTATGATTGAGAAATGATGAAAGTTTAGCAAACCAATTCTGACATATCAGAGCACTGAATGTAACCAACCTATACTGAAGGTTATTGTGTCTAATCAACAAATCAAACATAATATTTATGGTTTTGATCACTCAAGGCCAATTTATTTTAAAAAATTCTTCTAAATTTGATTTCATAATTCTGTTAAACATGATTTGGATAGGATAAACTGTACAAAAGCTAAAGCCTTTATGATGCAGATGTCAGTGAAAGGTTTGATGCAGATCTTACAAAGTGGGAATGTAACTTTAACAACTTGAGAAATACCCAAAAAAGATGTAGCCTTGAGTGTGGATCAGAGGTCACAGTGAAATACTGATACATGGAATTATGGGAATTGTATCAATCTCAACAAACAAAAACATTGCATGAATTCTGTGGCTTTGACTGCATGGGTAATCAGATAGTTGTTACAGACAAGTAAGGGATTCTCAGCATTACGAGAATATACAAATATACAATCTGACATTGAACATGAACACCATTTGATCTATTTGTTGCAAACACTTAATATGCAAATAACAAGAACTATTCTAAATAGGTAATATTTTAATGATTGAGTATGCAATAAGTGCAATTTTTGGTTTATATAAAATTCCATTAGATATGCTCTTCTAATAGAACATATACGGTAATAGAAGAAGAATAAGGTATGCACAAATAGAGCACATTAAATTGACACATAGGAGTCACACTGGCTATAAAACTACAAACATTTACTGTATTAGAAGTTGTTTTATTACAGGGTCTAACGAACTTATTCCCAAACAAACTCCAAACAACAAACTCTTATCAAATAACTACAAATATTATAAAGACTGTAATAACCTTATTAAAACTTTTGACAGATGTTGACAGTCTCAACTTGACTTCATTCATTCATTCATTCATTCATTCATTCATTCATTCACTCACTCACTTGTTTTTCATTCATGTTAACATGAATCAAAATGAAGAAAATAGAATACAATTTAGAGTTGTGATATGACATAGAAATCACGTTTACATGGGAGATGAGCTTCTTAAACTATGAAATACTAAACTCCATAAATCACCATACCATGCTTTATCATTGCAACAAACATACATGTGAACTTTGACCCATCCAGTAGCCTGGAACAAACCATGGCATGCAAGTTTAAGATGTTTATACAATAATACCATACTATAATTACATGTGCTTAGAGATGAGTTGGGTTGGTAAGCTTTGAAAACAACCAAGTAAGCTTTTCAGCCATTAAAATACTTATATTGGAATTGTGTATGCAATGGAAATATATGGTATGCACCATCATTGCTACACATGCTTCTTGAGAAAACATTGGATTATTTTAAATATCAGATGCCAAAGTAACCAATCAATAACAGTTTTATGAAAAATATAAATTAACCAATCAGTAACAGTGTTATATATAATTGATACTCACTTGAGTTTTGCTTCAGCTGGACCACCTGATAGGACATCTGATATAACTATAGATGTCTCTCCACTTGTAAAGTGTGGATTGTCAATTCCTCCACTTACAGCAATACCAAAACCAAATGCAGGTTTCTGTTAACAAAGGCAAACAATTGTTAAGCCATGAAATGTTTTCACAATAATCAACAACCAGTTATTTTACCATGTAGAATAACATGGTTGTCATTAAACAGGATTCATCAGTAAAAATTTTGTAATTTTGACATTATTTCCTACTGGTTATACATTGTTGATCACAATATGAAAATAATTACGCAGATTTTTGTTGACATTCAAAGGGTTTTACACAAAAGAATCTAGGAAAGCTTGAAATTGAAAAAATTGTATTCACTTGCTATGATGGTGTAATGATGCAAATACAGTTTCTAAAAGTCTTAAAATTTTTTTTTTATATTTTGTAAATAGATTGCTTATTGCTATACAAGATCATACATATGTGAAATTGAAGTCACACACCAAATTATTTAATAGATAAATGTGATAACACTTTAATATGTGCACTATCAAGTTTAATGAACATGGAACTTTATTTAAAATAAAACATGATTTGTTCAATTAGAAAATTTATTTGCCATTTATGAAACCCAAGATAACCAAAGAATGTGTCTGAAATTATAATTAAGGGGGTGGGGGTTCAACCCTATATGTAAAAGATATGGCAGTTTGAGTAATTTGGTCTGTGCTAATACTTCAAACCCAACCTTAATTCTACTAAGCAACTTTATTAAATGGATGTTTATGCAAAAAGTCTGTGAAGTCATACAAATAGTGGAACCATGTCAAGAAAGGAAGAGTCCATTCAGTGGGTAGATTGTGCCTTAGTAGTAACAGGTCATACAGAGACACAGTTCCAGAATGCATACAACTCTGACCTTGCATTCTAAATAGATAATTAAGATGCATTCTATAATGTGACTTATTTGGAGAATGCATTAAAAATATAAGCCTAATGCCACACAGTAATATAACATCATTTCTTACCCTATCTAGCACCACAGTATATTGTTCCCATACAATCCTTTCCCGGCTCTGAAAAGAAAAAAAAAAGAATTTCCTTAAGTATTAAAGACTACCGTTAACTGATGTTTACATCAGAATTGTTCTCACAATACAGATGAATATAGACATAGATTAAGACTTTCACATTATCACTTTTTGCACAATTATGCAATATCTGTTAACGTACATGTACAAGAGATAAATATGACTGAAATATTTGTCATAACTGGAATTATTAGTAAATTGTAAACCTTCACAAAAATGTACATGTAATTATTTCATTCATTTGCAGCAAGAAAAACAATTCACATTGTTCAGATTTCTAAACATCCAAGTAAATTGGTATAATTAGCCAAATTATTTGACAATAATCAGAATAAAAGATGGTATAAATGACCAGCAAAGCTATTGCTGTGTTAGCCTGACAACTGGCTGTGTACTCACTATCAGGGAAATAAACACAAATAAAAGCATTAAATAATTATATTTTATTGAACTTCACTGAATTTACCATGGCATGCACATTATGACTTTGACACATAAATTACAATTTACTGTTTAAATTCAGAAGTAAACACCATTTAAGAGATGTCAGAGGTCACATCCAGGCACCTGGTCATATCCAGGCACCATTTGTACATTCAGTACATCTGTGTAGCATTTACAAATCTACAAGTTTGCTGATATGTGCTTAAAAAGATGCATTTTTGTTGATTTTTGTTATTTAATAATCCATGAGCAAAGGATGCAAGGATGCAAGGATGTGCATACTAAATATCACCGATACAGTCCCAAGGTTTTGGACGTGGTTCAAAAGACCAACCCTATGATAAAATCACATCCTGTTGTTTTTCTGTTTCACTGATTGAAATATTCCAGTATAATACATGTCTCCACTCAGTAAAACACTTGGCCATACAAAGACCAGCGTCAGTCAGCCTGCAGGCCAATCAGCCTGCAAGCCAGTCAGCCAGTCATGACAGACTCAGTACAACTGGAAGCCAGCTATGTACACAGATGATGTTTGAGAAATCTTGTGATATTTAAACACCAGGGTGATTAGACAATGTAAATATTTCAACACAGTTATCTATTCCAAACACATGTGGAGTCACTGCCCTCAAGCAATGCACTGAAACCCAGATATGCAAATCAGATCATGTGACCTATGAGCCTCAGTCTCATTGGCTAACAAGTCCAATGAACTGAGACGAGAAAATAGAACAGAACAGAAATGAAAACAAATATTAATTTTTAGAACAAATATTTTCAAACAGAAAATTTGATGATTATGATGCCTACGGTAGTAACAATGAATACAGACAGCATCATGGTAGAGAAATGACATAGTTAAACAATATGAGCTACATGAGTGAGTCGGCAGTTACCAGGCAGACAAGATGGCCACTTCTTTTGTATAAAAGTTACAATGTAAGAGGTGTTTAGCTTGGCTAGTCAACCAAACCATTTAATTATGTGCTTATATAATACAGATCAATTGATCCAATGTCACTTTAATTTAAAAGTCTGTTTATTTTCATTAAAACGTATAAAATGTTGACAGGTATAGATAAAGAATGCCAGGTGATGGCACCAAGGAATGTGGTTTGTGAAAGAAAACAACAATGTCAGTGTATTTTGAAACCTTTTATCAGTACTTCATAATTGAACAAATCATCATGTTTTACTGAACTGAAGAAACATTCTAATTTCAATTTAAGGAACTCCTCGTTAGCTTTAAATGTATTTAATGTTTCAATTGGTCTATGTGAAGCAACTAAGTGTGGTCGAATAAAATATTTGAATATTATGTAAACCACTATCTGATTGGTTAACACCTTTAAATTCATCAAAACTCCAATTGAAAATTTTGAAATTACAAGTTTCCACATTTACAACTTCTGTTTGTTCACTTCATTGTTGATATCACAGAATAAATACAAACACTCTAAAAAACATAGACATACATGTATCTATTATGGTTTTTACACCAAACAATCCTGTTCATTCACAATCACCATACACATGAGGGATAATAATGTTGCGAAGATAATGAGATTATAATGACCATATACATTCATATGCAAATTAGATGCTGACTAACTTCTTACACCACCTCTGATAAATCAAAGTAAGGTTTTGTCATCACTCTAACAGAACTCTTAATAAACCAAAAATTACATTGAATTATTAAAATATTACTTATTTTAACCGATAGGATCCTACTGGAAATAAAGTTGCTGTTGATTTTGTAGGCTATCCAAAGTTGAACGTTGTTGTGGGACTTACATTTGTCTTTCTATCTGCTTTTTTCCCCCTTATCAATGTTTTCACACTGATTAAACAAAACCATAGAAACATTTCTTCCATTCAGGCACATGTGTTACTAATAGATCAAATACAGTACATGTATAAGGAACACATTGAAACAAAAATTACATTTACACATGTATTGTATGCTATAACTTATTTTAACCGTATACATGTATGCACTCCTGTTATCTATGTAAGAAGGTATTGTACGTATGGTTATGGTATTACTACTTGTGTTGTCAGGTA